GCAACCCGGGCATGTGCCCTGACCGGGAATCGAACCCTGATCGCCTGGATCCCAGGTCGACACTCAACCGCTGAGCCATGCCCGGTCGGGCAGGCCCATCTATATTAAAATTGACTGTAGNCCTGATCGCCTGGATCCCAGGTCGACGCTCAACTGCTGAGCCATGCCCGGTCGGGCAGGCCCATCTATATTAAAATTGACTGTAGTATTTTTTTAAATTTATCTTTATTGTTGAAAGTATTACAGATGTCCTCTTTCTTCCCCATTGACCCCCTTCGTCTCCCCCAGACCTTCTCCACACTATTGTCTGTGTCCATAGGTTATACATATATGCATATAAGTTTTTTTTAAAAAGACCTGAGGTATGAGCCAAGGCAAGAGTGAATGACTACTTCTAAACAAATACTTTTGGAAACAAAACTGGGGATTATAAATGTCAAAGAAGGAAGGTTTATGGGGTAATTACAAAATGTAAAATACTATATGACCTACAGTAAATCTACTCATGGTCAAGAAAAATTAATGTTATTTCTATATTTGCTAAAGATCAATGGTATTTATAATCACAATGAATGTGAACAATTGTTCATGTAACTTCTATGAATTTCTATCTTAAAAAATATCTATTATATATTTACTTTCCATTTTGTAGTGTTTGACATAATTCAAACAAGAAGTCTTTCCTGACAAAGCAAGAGCAATGCATATATATTTTTTAAAAAGCCCCTCAAACATCTCTCCAAGGAGATATCTAGATGAAGTGACTAACAATTTTTACTTATTTGAAGCAACACTGAGAATTAGGGCTATGACGCTGTGTTCTGTAAGTGATAAAAATACTAAAAATGGAAAATTTTATTTTTTGCTAATTTATCAAAATGCCCTTTTTTCTTAAGAGGTTTTGATGATTTAACGTTATGCTGTTATCTTTAATGAATGCTAGATGCGAGGGAAGGAACTTTGGGTGTTCCCACACTTTTTGAATTTAGGATAATATTATGATGATATCAAATGGCTTCAATCTATAAAGTTTAAAATTCATGTACAGAAATAATGAATAAGAGAAGAATAATAAAATGTATTTCTTACCTTTCCAGAAACAATCTTTTCATAAATCTGAATTGGTTGGTCTGCAAAGAATGGGGGGTAGCCAGCTGCCATTTCATAGATTAGCACCCCCAATGCCCACCAGTCCACTGCCTTATTGTAGCCCTAAGAGAAACCAACACCAAAGGTCAATTAGTAATTCACTCAGCAGAGAATGGAGTCATAGATGACTTTAAAGCACAGACATTTTTTAAAAAGCAGTTACTGAGTTATTCAGGATGGAATAAAAAAAATGAACAAAATGTATCAGGTCAGGTTTAAATTGAATAAGGGGAGACTGTCCAAATATTGAAATTAGATATTAGAAAATATTATTAAATCTTCTTTCTAAAATCATTAAGAATATTATGGACAATAAAATATTCCCTATTTAAACTGGGATAATTCAATTGTTGCTCAAAAATAGGAAGGGGGTTAGGACCATGTCAGGTCTATGATGTTATGAATCAGGTTTTCTAGAGAATGCTTAGGAATGTCAAAAGTTTTGAAACAAAATAGTAGATATTGGACTTCATAATAAATAGTGGAGTTGACTTCAAACTACGCTTTATTGTTAAATTGCAGGAGGGTGAATATACTAAGGATAATCCTATCCACTTCATTTCCAAACACTTAATTTGGAACTTAATATATGCAAATATTTAACTATACTTTCCGTTAGCTATCTACTATTTTGCTTCTCCTCTCTACAAGGTATACAGAAAAGATCATTCATGGGGTTTTGCGAGGACTATATCTAATGAAAGGAAATAATGTACATTAACAAATGCGTTGAATGCACTAGCTTCAGCAGCACATATACTGAAAGGGCGTTATGAGCCAAATGTACAATGCTAAGGTTATTTTGCACAACCTACTAGCACAAAATAATTTAAAAAAAGAAAAAGAAAAAGTAGCTCAATCGTGGAGAGGGATGAGCTGAATTCTTGCCAGATCTTTAGTTAAATGTATCTTCTACCTTCTCCACGCCCCACATTTCAACCTCTTCTCAAAATTTTAGCTTTACAAACTATTTAGTTTTCAAAGTATTAGCTAAAATATAATACTATAAATAGATATTTTTTTCTTTTCCTTTCTGTTCTGCTTCTGCATGTTTTTTAAAAGGGAGAGGCAAGTATAAGAGGAACAGCAATTTGTTTTGCTAATGGAAATGGGCGCGTCGACTCTGCTTATCTCTTAATTTAACTCACTAATGCTGTCATTCATTACAATATTTTTATTATAATAAAGCATGTAATGTTGAACCAGATCCTTTAACTAAACTTTGATTTCTGTTTTCGATTGTACGCTAATGTTCATTACAAATGTGCCAGATGCTTTTAATGCCCTAGGTACAGAGAATGAAAACAAATCAACAAGAAAAACTAAATTACTATAAGTATATGGGCAAAGGACATGAAATAATAATTCATACACACACAAAGAAATACCAAACGGTTATAAGTATTAAAACAAATCTAACAAAGACATGAGACTTAAAATAGTATTTATTGCCTATTAAATTAGTAATGATTTTAAAACTAAGAATACCTAGCGCTGCAGAGAGTGGTGAAACAGGCACTCTCATATGCTGCTGGTAGGGAGTATAAAATGTTAATATCTTTTTGGAAAGCATGTTGGCAATATGCGTCGAGAACCTTAAGAATGTTCATACCCTTTGACCCCTAATTCCACTTCTAGGAAATTTAGCCTAAAAAATTTGAAATGCAGAAAAAGCTTATGGACCAAGACATTTATCAGTTATTTATAAGAGGGGGAAAAATCAAAAAGGAAACAACTTGAATATTCAACAGCAGGAGAAAGGTGAAAGATTCTGAGGTTACACTTGCAAATAAGCCATTAGAATGATGTTTGCATGCTTGTTATCATTCAAGTGAAAAAAGCTGAATACAAAATCGTACATTCTCTATATCCCAATGATAACATGCATATAAAAATATATAAAAGGTTTTTTTTTAAAAAAAAAAAACACATCTCTGGGTGGTGAGATTATAGGGGTTTTGATTGTTTCTTTATATTTTTCTGTATTTTCCAAATTTTGTACAGTGAACATCTATTATTTTTACAATACATATACATTTTTAAAGTTTTGGTGCTTATTCTATCATGGTATTACAGGGTGAGGCAAAGTAGGTTTACAGTTGTGAGTATGTGAAACACAGAGTTTATTCCCATATTGTTATTCATTACTGTATTATTTTCCATAGGAACAGCTGTAAACCTACTTTTGCCACACCCTGTATTTGTTAAGTACAGTTAAAAAAAAGGAAATGTGTTAACAGCAATGATATTTTGATTATAAAAGACTAAGAAGTGAAAGATTTGGTGTGAAAGATGAGAGAAAGCGGAAAGAAATCTTATGTTTTATTCTAACACTTTTATAGGCCCCATGTTCAATTATTCAGGGGGTAGGTATTCAGTTTCTAAACTGAGGCATGTGTCCTATCCCTGTCTCTTTCCCTGTGCCTTTCTGTGCCCAGTATTGTTAATGTCTCCTTTCTCGCTGTCTACACCAAAGAACGGCCGTGGAAAAGAGAAGTTAAAGCATCCTTTTAGATACGAGGACAAGTTTCTCTCACCACATTTTCACAGTTTGGAGAAGTAGAACTGTCTTCAGTAAGACCATAGTTATCCAATTGCTATACTATATTTATGATTAAACTAAAATTAAAAGAATAATTAACATAAATTTCTTTCGTGTAAGTGGTAAAGTTGAAATAAAGAACTGACAACCAATACATATCATCTTTAGATTTGTCTCTTGGTGTAACCCAGACCGAGCTTCTTGCTCTCCTGTTACTGGGAATGATTATAAAAAGGTTATGCTTTTGGCTTCAAAACATGGATCTAGAGGTCAAATTTATTAACACTATTTCTACTAGACTCAGAGTTAATATCGACAGAGTTTATGGGATTAGTGGTAGATTCTAAATAATTTTTTAATAATTATGCAAATAGATTTAAATTTATAATTCAGATTAAATAAAAATGTACAATTAGATCAATAAACTTTTTCATAAAAGTCCACATTGATTCATGCCTTATATTTCTACTCCTTATGTAATGACGGTGTAAATATACCTTGCTGAGGATTATTTCTGGAGCCAGATATTCTGGAGTGCCACACAATGTCCAAGTTCTGCCTTTAACTCTTTTGGCAAATCCAAAGTCTGTGACCTACAAAAGAAAACAAAAATTGTGAATATTATTTTTTCACAACAAATGCATTTATTGTAGCGAAGTTGAAAGTTTAAAATCAGGGTTAAAATTAAAACCAGGAAAAACAAATTAATTCAATATAATTGAGGCTAATCCACGAGGGCCAGTGTTTAGTGAATGTAGTTGAAACAACCCATGCTAAATATTTTCCTGACTCCAACAAAGGAGCAAATGAACCAGAAAAACGGCCTTAATAAAAATGAAGCAGTACTAGAAGGGTCCCTTAAATCCAACATGTCCTCTGCCATTCATTGTATCATCACAAATGCAAAGCATCATTGAGGAGATCTGGTAACTGTAAAATAGGATGCTTCCACTCTACTGACAGCAGAGATGGAAAGAAAACACTGTCTCCAGCCCAGTATTGGTAGGTGGGGCTCCTCTGGCAGCTGCCTTGTGGTGTTAAAAAGCATGGACTTGGGACAGACTGTCTGGGTTCAATTCTGACTTCACCTGTGTGACCTTGCTGTGCCTTAGTTTCATCAGCCTTAAAATGAGGATAACAGCAGTATTTATACTTCATGGTGTTATCAGAGATGCTACATGTAAAACACTTGGAATAACACGTGGCACTAAATGAGTGCTCACAAATTTAGCTGTTACTAATTCTTTAAGCAGGAGCCTGTGCTTAGCTCACAACTACAGATTACAGGAGATATAAACAGGGTCTATCCTTGAGGGGACTCTCTGTTTTCCTAACAGCATTGGGAATAAGTATAAGCTCTGTTTAAGCTATTGAAGAAAATTGTCTCCTTAAAGAAAAAAATATTCCAATATTGGTAGCTGTGAAATACATACAACTTCTTACCTAGTATTTTCTCAAATACATTACATATAATATATTCAGTTCGTACCTGGATATAACCTTGGTGGTCAATTAAGAGATTTTCAGGTTTCAGATCTCTGTAGATGAGGTCTAGTGAGTGGAGGTACTCGAATGTTAGCACTATCTGAGCTGCATAGAACCGTGCATGGGGTTCACTACAAAGAAACAAAACATTGGATTTCTGTAAAACAGGTTAACACAGTAATTAGTAGATTATACAAAAAATTAATATAGGGTTGAAGTATCTGGGGAGTAAAATGTATTTTTGCTTTTAAACATAAGTAAAGAATCTTGCTAGTTTTCAAATATTTAGTAAATCTCTAAATTGTCTTCAAATAATGCTTTGATACGCTTGGTGGGCATCATACATTGAAGAAAAACATTACTTTCAAATTGTCATCATATTTTAAATTATTCTTGGCTATAGTAGAAGGTACTAATATTTTTATAATTATGTTTGACCTTGAGGATGATTGAAAAGCCAATGTGCCAATTAGATTGTCTATCACAGCCATTGCTAATGTTGATAGGCTCCATTTACATTTCTCATAAATTTCAAGTGCTTGAATAATTTTACTACATACAAAAGTTCTTTAATTGCAATAATCTGCAGATCAACACCATTTTTACCTAGACTGTTCTTATTACAAAAATGATATATACTCATTAGAGAAAAATTATCATAAAATATTAATGAAAAATAAGACACCCATAATCCCATCCAGAAGCCAGAGATGCAATCCTGGTGTCTGAATTTCCAATCTTCTACAATGCATGTTTACACAGACACATAAGTATAAGCTGTGTATTTGTGTAAATATGCACAATTCTTACACGCATAGATCACATCTACTGATAGATAGATGAGTGTGATTTTGATGCCATGTCTGTATTATTCCAAAAGGATGTACTGACTTTTTAGTCTTGAGCTTCTATTTCATCTTTTAGTGCATACACTGAATTCTGCTAATCTGCCTGACAAACTGCAATGACTTTCAGATTTGTGTCCTCAATGAACAACCTTAACTATGAATAGAATTTCCCTCAAGATGGTTGGTATGAATTTGAGCTAGTAGAACCAGAAATAGAGATTCCAAAAAAAGACGATCTATGCGGCTCCTTTTGCTTATCACTATATTTCCTAGGGCCTAGCCTGATACACAACAGGTGCTCAGTAAATATTTGTTGAGTGAATAAATATGTAAAGAAAAATACATTTTGGGGGCAGTATTTTATAATAGCCTCCCAGTTTTGGTCCCATCTCAACACTGTCACAATATGCATTGTATGTTGTATGACAAGGAATGAAAACACTGTAAAGGGAAATTGGAAGAATTATCCTGGTCATTCATCCCTAAACTTGGAAACACCTGTCCTGGGATGTCCCTTGTTATTTCCTCCATCCACCTGTAAATGTAAGACGCACTTATCATCTTGTAAGTAAACATAATTTTATCATTAAAAATACAAGATACATTCAGCATTTTATATTTATTTCCACACCCTGGCATTTGATTGGAGGAACACAAACATTACACAGATCTATAATCAAATTGTTGAAAGGTGAAAAAATATTCTATAGGAAGCTTTAAGTCTAGACAGATGCTATTTAAGTAAAGAATCATAAGGATTCTGCTGATTTTGATTCGAGACATATTCAACAATAACTCAGTAGTCTCATTGCTTCAGAGTTTCTGAGATGGGAGTTAGCAACCTTTCGAGTGTATACGGGGGTGGGCAAAAGTAGGTTTACAGTTGTTTGTATGGAAAATAATACAATAATTAGTAAATAATAATACAAGAATAAACTTTGTGCTTCACATACTCTCTCCTACTTTTGCCCAATCCTGTATGTAATGTGTGAAAGGTCAGAAAAGACAGTGTCTCAATGTCAATTAACTTGCTTTCCTCCTAGTACCAAGTCAAGTATTAAAGAAATAAAAGTGCGGAGAGTTGCAATTTTACTAATTATAGAAAATGGACAAAATATTTTTTGAAGACAGGCATAGGTGTGGTTCTTTAGTGCAAAACTTCGAATTATTATAGGGCAATATAAGGATTTTGGGATTCCTTGGACAAAGGGTGGTAGGAAAGAGGACAGCCTGAGGTGAAAGAAAATCATTAAAGATAAACAGAAGTTACTCTGCATTAGCATAGTGCCTGACACATATTAGGTACCCTATATATTAGGTCAAAAAATGCATTTTGGCTTAGGCCTCAGGTAACTAAAATAGCTCCAATGTTGGCCATTACTGAATATAATTTCATGATAATCCAATATCATCATGTTTTTATGAATCTAATTAACATCATGAGTCCTGTTTGAACTCATACTCTTATGTGTTAGTTATGCCAATATATACTGTACTGAATGAAGCTGGACCTATTCTTGGTTTCAGCTCCATTCTATTAGTGATTATTAATGAACAGTAGTAGCTTACAAACTATTATACACAGTAAAGTTAACAATCTATAACCTATTTTAATAATTGTGTAACCTTATCTGTAATAACCTAATGAAGTACAGTACGAAGTCTTTTAACATTGTGTATATATTTTTAAACCTCAACAGAGCAACAACATTAAGGAGAATTAAATTCATGCAAAACAAACTTTCTCATCACTATGACACCTTTATCATCTGTTCTGTATATTGCGTTTTAATCTTTATTCTTACATAAACCTCCTTCTTAGAGTTGTGTAATTAATATTTGCTCAATAAATATTGGTAAGTTTAAATTCAATTAATTTTTGCATTTCTGGAAATTCTTCAAATAAAGGATTTCAAACAATAATAGTGGTAGAATATTTACATTGGTATCATAGTGCTTTTATTTGATTTTTAAAACCCAGTATGTGGCCTCTTATTAATGTTTCCACCTAATTCTGCATAGAGATAAAATGTTACTAAATTAAATGAAATAAATTTTTACATTGACAATAACTTAAAAATTTGGTTTAAAAAAAACACACAGCAAGATTTGAGGAGAGTAAAGTATTAGTTACCTGAACCTTCCAATTCTTCTTAGATGTGAAAACATTTCACCTCCAGGGACATATTCCATAACCATATATAAATTAGAATTATCCTATAAACAAATAGAAAGGATAAATAAATCAAAATTATGGAACCAAGATTACTTCTCAAGAAAATATTTTAACATAACATCATGTTCAATTAGAAAAAAAAAATTAAAAATCCATCTGATAGATTACTACATTTGGAAATCGAGAATAAACAGAAAATGCTCTAACTTTTCTACACTGGGGTATTAATTTTTCCCCTGAATTCTTGCTTCAATTTATTTTTGCTGTTCTTGCCCTTGCAGGGAACACTTCACCCTTAAACAATTAAAACAGTGTGGCAATAACTTAATGCAATAGTGTATGCAAAGGAATAATTAGGTAAAAAAACAGTTTGAAAAAGTTAGAACATTTACATTTCATGGACTACATTAGGTCCAAGAAATTAATAATTTTTAAAGTCATCAGGAATCCATAGGTCTTTATTTGATTTAAAGAATAAAGGAGAAAAAAGAAGATTAAAATGCTTCATATGAATCAATATTGCAGAGAGATGCCAAGTATCAGTCCAAGGAGCTGAAAAGCTGCCAACTTAAAGAAGAAATCTTTTGAAAGTTTCCGAGACACTCAGAACAGAGGGCCAAAGTCTGTTCTAACTCCTATGAATGGAAAGACGAGAGCACAAATCACTCAGTGAAAACGCTAGTGAGGCTGTGGCAGAAACGGTTCAGAGAAAAGGAAGGTACGTAGGTGCACTCACTTGCATGAATGTATGATTTGCCTTATTAAAATATCACTATGGATTTTGACAAATTGAAACATTTGATTTTATAATACCATCTCATGAAAAAGTATGCATTACCTTTAACAAATTCCCCAGAGAGAACTAAAACCTTTCCAAATGCTAAGTTTATACATGCAATAGGATTTAATTACGTGGCATCTAAATATATTACCTTTCGTGTGTTTTTTTTTCATATTCTCCAGGTTTATCACCTGGTTTAGAATCCTATATAGCTTTATATTTTAATAAATTATGAGGCTAAAAGTACTTTATTTGGATATTAGTGAAATTTACCTTAAAAGAATACTCCAGTCGAACAAGAAAAGGGAAATTCACTGCCTGCAATATTCTTTTCTCATTCAAAGTATGCTCTATCTGCTTCAGTTTAACAACCTGTAATGGAGATAGAAATATATTAAATGCATTTAAATAAAATTTCAAAGTTATGATAATTTTATAAGAGGAAAATTAATGTTTTCCATATAATAATGAACTTGGATAAAACAAAATCTCTACAGTTAGTTAGGTAAGGAGGACAGTAATAACCACCAGCGAGGCTTATCAGACTCAAATGAAAAAAACCTGACTGAGGGTTTAAAATTTGGTCTCAAGATGGCAAATTATGACTTTTAGTGAAGAAGCAAGAGCTAAGAATCAGACTCATGATAAATTACTTAAAACATTAATATGTTAAAATACGTAGCTCCTAATGATATATAGTCCACTAAAGGAGCTGATGCAAATCACTGCAGTAAGTAGGCATTGATTTAAATCTTCAGGTCAGCAAGGGAGCTGAGAACTGAGGACAATCCAATCACTGAAAAACAGTGGGTAAAAATGAACTTCCTATTAATTTCATAATACCTGAACAAATACAAGAACAAGTCCTAAAAATTCAATTTGCACAGCCACTAAGGAGGACACATCAAATATTGGCAAAAAAAATGACTATGTCTTTAGAGCAAATGTATCATTTAAGGTTAATCAAGCTGCCTCTGGACTGTCTACTCAACCACGTTCACAGCAGGGGAAAGCAACTTATCCTGACTTCATGAAGACTGATTCTACCCTACATGATTCTATTTTTAATATAGGAAAAGGTGACCTTAGGGAGATATATAGACAGTTGTCTTGCACGTGTGTAAATCATTAGAAGGTCACATTTTTCTTAGTAGAGGCTTATTGTCAATGTGGGGTAACCACAGCAATCAAGCGGTTGAACATGGATAAAAAAGGTAAAGATATCATCCAGCAATTAGTATATAAAATTATCGTCTAAAAATAATTGACTAAGAAGTCAGAAGATCTGTGTTCTAATCTAAATCTTCTATTCAACCAGTTTTGTGACTTTGGAAATGTTATTTTAACTCTCAGGATCTCAGGGTTGTTTTTTATCTGTAACATGAAGTGGTTGGATCACCACTGTCTACATTGTAACTAGTTACAGAACTAATGAGTCCATTTTTATCATAATACACTATATAACACTACCTGGAGAATTCGCATTGCTTTGTGTTTACCATTTTTTAGTAGACTATTTTTTTAGCAGTTTCAGGTTCACAGTAGAATTAAATGGAAGGTACAGAGACTTCCCATATATCTCCTGCAGAGCCTTCCCCATTACCAGCATCCCTCACCAGAGTGGCGCATCTATTACACTCAGCGAACCTACGGTGGTGCACCATTACCTCCTGGAGTCCACAGTTTACATCAGGGTTCACTCTTGGTGTTCTACATTCTACGGGTTTGGACAAATCTATAATGACATGTACCCACCATTTACAGTATCATATAGAGTAGTTTCACTGCCCTAAAAACCCTCTGTACTCTACTTATCCACCCCTCCATCCCCACTAACCTCTGGCAACCACTGATCTTTTTACTGTCACCATAGTTCTGCCTTTTCCAGAATGTCATATAGTTGGAATTACACAGTATGTAGCCTTTCAGATTGGCTTCTTTCACTTAGTAATATGTATTTAAGTTTCCTCCATGTCTTTTCATGGCTTGATAGCTCATTTCTTTTCAGCGCTGAATAATATTCCATTGTCTGAATGCACCACACTGTTTACTTTCACTATTATAATATAGCAGGTTTTTTAGTTAGGCATAGAAAATGTGTTATCTTATGAGATAATAGAAGCTGCAACAGAGACGCTTTCTGCATTTCAGCCCTAAGCCAACTATGCATACGTGGGGCATAACAATTAAAAATAGAAATGATTCCAAGATATATGAACTGGCAAAGCAAATATGCTTAACTTTTAAATTAATTAAAAATTTAACTAGTTAAATCTAACTTAATTTTAAATGTCTATACTACATATAAGGCATAATAATAAGTGTGATGGAGATGAAGACCAAAGAATGCCTGCCTCCATGCTGCATAAAATCTGTTTGGAAGTATGATGCACGAATATGTGAATAGCAACATAGAACAGCTGCCAAATGAGTTATCTCGTAAGTGTTCAGAGGGGAAAATGAACAAAGGGAAGTCTGAGTATTAGTCCATAGGGCTGGAGCTGAGGAAAGTGCCTCTCACATTTTGGTAATAAATACCCCTAGGCAGAGAAAGGGCAGAGAAAAATGAACAAGTACCCCTAGGGGTTTTGTCTATGTTTTATTTCAAAATTCATATACCATGCTTACTTCTTAATATTTCTGTTGGTTTAAATACATATATGTAAAAACATTTAAAAATGATTACTTATGAGCTGATTTTTTTAAGCCAAGCACTGAGGAGGAGTTATGAGTTAGGGACACGGGTTATATGTCATCACATACTCCCCTGCCCGACCCAGCCTAGCTCCATATACTTCTGTGGGTCCAGTTTCAAGCAGAGAAGTAGAGTAGATAAGACTAAAGTGGAGTTTGGAAAAAAATTATGAAGGTTTTGAAAGTAGGCTACAGAGTTCTGACTTCATTTAATAAGCATCAGGAAGCTTTCCGAGGGAGCCGATAGGATACGGTAAGAAAAATGTGTTCGCAATGAAGGAGGTGAATTAGTAGACGGAGAAAACTGATATTGTGGAAATTAATATGTTACTGTGAAAGCCCAGTTAATGCTAGAGAGGGACCAATTAGGTGGTAGCAGGAAAGATCTTAGGGATAACAAATAAATTTGAAAGGAAAAATTAACAAGGAGCATCGGAATAGAAATCAGACAAACCTAGGTCATATTCTTGGTTCCTCTTACTAGCTGTTTGACTGAAAATTTACTTAAATAGAGAGGTTCTTGGCTTAAAGGGGAGATTAATGCCACACAAAGCTGTTGTGAAGACTCACCGATACAATAAAGTGCCTCACAATGCTTGACACATAGTATGGAATAAAAAAATGGGATTTCCTTAGTTTCTGTACTGATTTCTTCCCCTCACCCCATACACCCTAAGATCGGAAAAGCCAAAAAGAGTTAGTTGAAAGATCTGTGACTTTATGGACAGAAAAGAAGGTTATTGTGGAGTGCTATTTTATTAGTTTTAGGAAATTAAATAAACTTGAAAAAAATCAGAATAAAAAGTCTATGTCCTAATTCTAAATAGATCCAGAACACTGCCATAGAAGGGCAATTTTCAACCTTTTTCATCTCATGGCACATATAAACTAATTACTAAAATTCTGTGGCACATCAAAAAATACATTTTTTGCCGATCTGACAAAAAACAACGTATAATTTTGACTCATTCACACTGGATGGCTATTTGTTGTGTTGGCTGTTGTCATTTTTTTATATGACAATCTAAGGGAAGAGAGGTCAATGACCCTGACTAAATAGTCAGGTACTACACGTTTTTAAAAATACTTGCGGCACACCGGTTGAAAGTCGCTGCCATAGAGAAATGGCTTAAAATGGCAGCTATTCTTCTGTGAAATACTCTTTTGCCATGATTTATTCCCAAGATAGCCTTCTCAGTAATTCAACAAGTCACTGTCTACCAAAAAGGATATTTAAAAATTCTCCCTTAAACATTTTAAGGTATAAAATTACTCTCTGTAATCCTTTTAATATTTTTATGACTAAAGTGCATCTTGTTAATTCCTTAAGGAAGATGAAATATTAGGGGCTATACAGATAATAACATTTTAATGACAAGTTTAATAAAAAATACAAATTTGAAGCACTTTGTTGTTGTTGTGCTACCAACACAAGTATACAAATCACTTATCCTCTCCGAGACCCAATTACCTCACCTAGAAAATGAGGGCAAGAACTAGGCGTTCTTCGTAAGAGCTCCGTGCTCAGATCGTACAGAGTGCAGAGCTCAAGGATGAGTTGAAGTCTGGATGAGAGTACACAGGGAGAGTGTACAGAACAAAAATGAGAAGAAGGAATAGTCCAGAGACTGGGATTAGCAATTAGACAGAAGGAAAAAATAAAACTAAACAGAAAAAGAAGAGCCCAAAGAGGCAGCAACATAATTAGAAGAGCAACGGGTGCTAGAAATCCAGGGACAACATGGTTTCAAGGGAGTAGTCAACACAGTCTTAACTCTAAAAAAGTCCCATAAGATGAGTAAAAAGAGTCCACTGGACTTGGTGATTAGGACACTGGATTGGGGACCTTTGGCTGAGACATTTTAGAGGAGTAGCAAGAGGTAGGAGATAAACAACGGGGCAGCTAAACTATTGTGGGTTAAAGAATCAATAGGAAGTGACTTAGTGCATAGAGTGATTAAACTATTTTTCCAAAAAGCATGGTTGGAAAAGTTATGTGAAAGAGGGCAGTAGACAAAGATGAACAATTGTATGCGTGTGGGGGGTGTATTTAATTTCAGAGGCTTAATAAGCCATTACTCCTTTCATGTCAGAGGTTAGGTTTGCTTTTTGTTTTAAAGCAGAGATTGGATTAGAACCACAGACCAATGTAGTGCTATGCTGTCCAACATGGTAGCCACCAGCCACATGTGGTTACTTAACACTGGAAATGTCGCTAACCCGTATGGAGATGTATTGTAAATGTAAGATATACATCAGATTTTAAAGACTTGGTATGAAAAAAAGAATGTAAAATATCTCAGTAATTTTTATATTAATTATATATTGTAATGATAATGTGTGAATACACTGGACTAAATAGAATCTATTATTAACATTAATTTCAACTCTTTCATTTTACTTTTACAAAATGAGGCTACTAGAAAATTTTAAATTACATATGTGGCTCATATGATATTTATTAGATAGCATCATTAGTCTAGCCACTATCTGTAACCCTGACTGTTTCATCTACATTTCTTATCTATATAAAAAATAATTCTTGGGAACATAATATCTATAAGATAATATATCAAGATTTGTTATTTTTCTTTTATTTTCCCATAATTAGGAGTGATTACTAAGAAAACAGAAACAGTATTTAAAGCATGAATAATTCAGATATCCTGATTCTTTATGTATACCAATATGTGATAAACGCTTAAAAATTATTGTTAATTTTTTAATGTATAATTGATATGTAACATATTAGTTTCAAGTATATAACATAACGATTTGATTTTTTAATAGTATATAGGTTTTCAAATTTTTCCTGATTTAATTGACATGTTTAATTAAGCAAACTCAATCATGTTAAACAAGAGGGCTTCTATTGTCAATTAAAGTAAGTCATAAAATAAAATCACTAAATTTCTTTTACCTCAATCTAAGGATCAAGTAATTTATTCCTGCATTTTTCCACAAGGCAGAAGGTAGTAGAGAAACCTGTTCTTCACATTCAATATTTTGTTAGTAAACATACATATACCTATTATGTATAAATAATTATTGAAATAATGAACTCCTATATACTAAAACTATAACTGTATCACACAGTCATAACAACGGTAATTAAATGCAACAATAAAATCATTTGAAGGTGTCAATGGTTAAGTTGTTATGTTGCATCTATATAATAATCTAGCTGATAAAACTGAAGTTTACCCTTCAGGTAAATGACAACAAACACTAACCTTCTGCTTATCTAAGATCTTCATGGCGTAATACTGCTCTGTGGCTTTGTGTTTCACCAACATGACTCTTCCAAAGGAACCTGTTCCAAGGGTTTTTTTCCTTTCAAAATCCTCCAGGCCGGCATTATTCTACATACACAAAAAATAAAATAAGCTTTAAATTTAGAAAATCTCATAAGAAGACTATGACAATGATAATAGATTTAGTGATAATCAGAATAGATCATTTAATTTATAACCACCCATTTAAAAATAATACAAAAGACTATTGAGATTTCAAGTTATTTGTTCTATTTTTTTCCTTTGAATAAGAAAGGATTTAATAATTCAGAAGAGAATTATATTGCAAAACAAAGCACAATAGTAATGGGAGGAAGTGAGAGCCTCAGCTGAAATATTAAAGGTTATATTCCAATATATATTCCTAGTATTGGATTTCTAACAAATTAGTTTCATATTTTAATAATTACAAACTGACCAGAGGTATATTGACCAAGACAATCATGAAAGCCATAGTCTTAGTGTACTTGCAAATAACTGCAATGAATAGATAAGCTGAGGGATCAGAGTTCTTTCACTAGAGCTACCTCTGAAGAGAGCACCATATAACTCATTTCTATCTTTACAAGAGTTATAGAACTAGAGGATAACAGCATGAGAGATTCTAATAGCTTTCTCTCTGATGCTGTAATAACCCAGTATTACCTAAAACGGTAACAATAGGAAAGAAGAGTTCCTCACTCACACAAAGGAAACCAAGAGCCAGAGTAGCAGAACAATAATCAGCCTCTTTTTCTCCTTGAATAGATGCTTTGTTACCAGCACACATCTTTGTTTGGCTTTGACTACAGCACAGAAGCAAAGAACTGGAAGCATCAATCTATTGAATTTGTTGCTGCCACAACAAAATGAAAATTACTAGGAACAAATTATGTGCTAAATAGCAGTAAGTAGTAATTGCTGACCCATTTTTAATAGGTTTTCTTTATAAAGATCTCCATGAAAACCTTAGAGAAAATATTTCCAGTCTGTACCGTGTTTGGCTTGAGAAAGTTGTGATGAAATATGATTCTTGTAGAAGTGAGGAATCTGGATAGCTACGGAAGTCCACTGTACCTCTGGATGCTGTCTCTATTGAAAACCAAATCTGGCCTTTGGAAACACAGCTTAGCTTCTTGTTGAATCACAGAGAGAGCAGGCAACTCTAAGTTTTTACTTATAAAACTTGTTTACATCATTTTTTTTTGCTTTACCACATATCTCTTTTTAAAATTTACTTTCCTGTTGAGAGTATTACAGATGTCCCCATGCCTCCTCCCTTTGCCCCACTCCACCCATCTCCCACCCCACCCCAGGCTTTCACCTGTCTATTGTCTGCGTCCATGGTCTATGTATATATGCTTATAAATTCTTTGGTTAATCTCTTCCCATCATATTTTAATTTCAGATTTCCAATAATTTTAAATTGCTATGAGATTCTATGTCAATACAAAGAAAAAGTCCTTCTAATTCTGACTGAATTATTTAAATGTATGGGTTAATATTTATTTTTTTGTTTTATCAACATAGATGGATTGAAATGTTTAATATTAGTTCCCAGCTAAATAATGAAAATGAACTTCATTAGTAGACCACAAAACATCTCTTTTTGCTAGTCACTGTCTTCATATAAATATGCCATCTTCCTCACCTCCTTACTGTTTCATGTGAGATAATGAATAACTTTTTTTAATCACCAGAATGATTATGTTTTAAATTACTGACCTAGGTCATGCTCTAAATCTTGATAATGATGGCATCTTCATAGAACATAACATTTATTTAAAATTAAATTTTTTTTTTTGAAAAAATACTTGAAAAGATTTTTGTTCTAGAAAAAGGTTTTCAAAATTTAATCTACTATTAAAGTTTGTTAATTATTTATAACTTCAAAATGAGATTGTTTTTGAAAAGTACAGATGACTCTTTTTATGTAAAGTGTTTAGATCTTAGTTAAGATCCAAAGTATGTAAATTATATAAAACTTACCCCATCAAAATGTTTATGAAAAAAGGATCCCTGTGTTTGGTATGTTATCAATAACCAAGTGTTTGTGATTAAGAATTTGAAACTGCACAATAGGATCCCTATTGTTGTAATTAATAAAAATAATAAACATGCTAGCATAGGCATAAATCAAAATTATTGTATTAGAAAATATCAAGAGTTTGTAGCAGCTGGGAATTAGTATCAAAACTTATAAGCAGGTATACTGGAAATTAGTTCCTTTTCCAATTCAGGTATACATAAAATTATTAATTAATAAAACAAAACAATGTTAAGGCAAAAATTTCCATGTTAGATAACCCTATATTTATTAATGCTACTTAAAAATTAAAGTTTCTGAATGTAGTAAATTATTTAGGCAAGAATCATGATTTTACTTAATACATTATTTTTAAATCATAGAAAATTGTATATATTCCTTACCTGAGCAGGATTTTCCCACTTTTTTAAAAAGTCTTCTTTGGCTTTGGCTAGAAACTCTTTCACTAAAAAAAAAATATGAAAAAAATTGTCTTAGAGCAATATTCCTATTACATATAAATATACATGCTTTAAAAATACAGACTTATGTCAACTATGGTTGCTATAAAACGTATATTTACAACCAAGATACACTAGAGAGATATTCAGTTTCTCCAAATAAGAAGCAAACATTTTCCCAAATTTCTAAAACTCTCTAATACCTTTCTATATGGCGATCACTGTGATCATTTCAAATCTAATAATAAAAATACTGTTCCTGAAAACAGAACCGGAAGTAATGTAAAAAGGTTAGAACAATCTAGAACAAAATACTCATTGAACAGAGCCTTTAAACATCAGAACTGAAAATATCTGGAGAATGTGAACTTGCTGATCTATGGAGTTTTGAACGTAACCAATTTTGACAAAGAGCTATTTTCAGGTATAAGAACTTATGTTATTAGATTTGTGTCTTCTCTACCACAGACTAATACATAAAGAGAACCCACAGAGACTTAAAAACAAAACACAACAAAACACCACAAACAAAAACAAATAAACCCAAAGAACTTAAAAGTCTCATTCTAAATTTGGAGCAAAACTAAATGTCTGAATGACTAATTCCAAATGTACACTGCAGTAAAGCAATTCCAAACACGATGCTTATATAGTGATTAAGGATAGCTATATTATTTTATAGAGCTGTGGTTTGAAGTTTTAGATTTGTTAAATGATAAATCACTTTAAAAGCTTGCTCTTTTTCATTGCTTTCCACAAAGATATTAACAATGACTTCTGTTTACAAGCAATTTCATGTGTTTAAAAACAAATAACAGACAAGAAATTCCAGAGAGAGAAAATGGCATAAACAATATGTATTCTTGTTCCTGGTTATATATGTGAGCAAAACCTGACTGTACAAGAAATAATTATTTTTGTCTTTTGCTCAGAAAGTCCCCAATATTTCTCTGATACGTGAGTCTATAAATAAAGAAGAAAATACTGGAAAATCGTATTTAAATAATGTCCAAATAGTCAAAGACTATGCAAAGTAAACGAAGAGCGGCCTACTGGCATTTATTTCAGATACACTAACAGTGATGACGACAGTGCTGGGTGACGATGATAATGAAGAGACAGAATTTAAAGCGGAAGCGAGGGGCTCGCAAATCTTTAATAAGATCATCTAATAATGTAATAGTATTAAAGTGAGGCGTTTAAAGATACACGCTATTATTCCCCTTTCTCCTCAGTTAGTACCTTTCACGAAACCCTGCTACTAACCAAAAAGGCGACCGGCATTCTAAGCCTTTTGAGATGTCAAATGGTGACGACAGGCGCCGGGAGCAGACATTACTACCTTATGTAAACGGTCATCATTATATTTTGCTGTTAAAATGCTCTCAAAATACCTATTTTAGAAAGTTTGAGAAAAATAATTTTTAGAATTAGAATTTTCTCATTGTATGACAATTTCTTATCTCATCCACCCAAACACTGAATCGAGTAATTATACCAACCTAATCTGATTCTCCCCCGGGGTGGGGTGGGTTTAGAGGTAGAATATTCTTATATTTTCTTAGAGTTTAGGACAGTTTAAGTCATCCTAATTCTAGAAGTTAATGGACTAGTTACAACTGGTATTTTTTTGGTGAGATTTTGTGTGTGTGTGTGTGTGTGTGTGTGTGTGTGGCATGGAGCAGACACATCTGCACATGGCAGTGACTTGGAAATGACAGCTATAAAATAAATTAAGAACATCATTTATTGCTAAATGTAACTATGGCTTTTAAGAACCAACTTGTGATTCCCAAAATATACCTCTGATTTTTTTGAAAAATATTTTTAGTTATCTCCTATTCATAGAACTTGCACATCAAGTTGCAGTACAAATTCCCCAGATGCCTGCCTGGTGTAGATAATCGGGAGACAAGGGAGAGAATCAGAGAAAGAAAGGAAAAAAAAAAACCCAACATCCTGTTCCAGCTTCTCCTGTCACTCGCTGCTGAGTGGATCTGGAGTTAAGAAAACGTAACTGGTCAAAGGAAGAACAGATGGCAGGTTGAGAGGAAGCTTCCCTGGCCCTGCTCGGTGAATGAGCTGCGAAAGCTCCGCAGGTGCTGCTCAACTGTCCTCGCTCACAGGAGCGCAGGAAATGCTCTGAAACGCTCCCCATCCCCACCGGTATTCCTAGTTTACTGCTAAGTAGCACTATAAAAAGTAAAGAACCCTTCTCATAAAAGTCTTAGAAATGGGTATGGGTCATCAGAAATGGGGATGAATCAAAGATATTAAACTTTGTAAATTATTTCCATAATTAAAGAGATTCTCTTTTAGAGTAAAAAATAAGCATTAATTATAATGCTCACTAAAGAGTTCCATGAAGAAAACTCGGTTCCTGAAGCACTTTTTGTCACATAAGAATATAAAACACTTGAGATGTCTAGTTCATATGTGCTCTATTTACATGCAAAGATGAACATAGTTAACTCTTTCTAAGAATATCGGTTAACCAAAATATAGATCTTATAAATGCAGACACCAAAAACAAAGTTATTTCTCAACATGCTGGATTATGAGCAACTCTAAAACAACAGGAAGTCCAGAACCACATGTATTTGCTTCCAATTTTATTCTTTTTAGACAGTGGTGAATTTAACTTTCTAAATGCTTTTTTTCTGGTTGCTTTTAAAATTTATAGCCACTGACATCAGGTATTAACAGCTAATTAATAAAATAAGTGGTGGAAGAGACAGCCAAATTCAAACACCGCAGCCTATTTATTTAATCCAGAGTTCCCTACAAAGCATAGACGAAAAGTTCTCAATGTTTCGGTTTTCTTGTTGTGTTCTAATATATAAGCTATATCTACACTTTACCATTTAAATCACTGTGATACCCTGAAGCAGCCAAGGTTTTAGAGCTTGGAGCATCTGAATTAGAACGTTGGCTCTAATACCTCTTAGCTACACAATCATGGGTACCTCTCTACAAAGCATCTAACAATGATTAGGAAAAAACATCTCAAGGGAGGGTTTTTCTGCAAATATATTTTGTTCATAGTGATTAATAATAGAGCAAACTAGGTACTACAAAACTGAGGACACACCACATGTTAACTCAATTTCTTCTCAGATGTGTACACTTCAATTATATTTATTTTTCAAATAAACTTATTTTCTCTTCGGTTTGTATTATTTAAAGAGTATAGCACGTTGAGTTCTAAAGAAGTCAGCCTATCAAAGGAATCTCTGTTCACTCAGGGCTGGTTTGTAGGAATGTTTACCCACATTTGCGAGACGAAGCAACTAGAAACAAAGTGCCAGTTTTTAAGCATTTCCACAAGTACATTAAAAACATAATTCTTATCACCCTCAAATATTTTTGAATATGCTTATACTTAGGACACAGTATAAAAATTAGATTAAAAAGTTCATTTTAGACATAAGAAAATTTACTGAAAATGCAAGTATGGCACATCTTTGTTCCATTTTATTCAGATAATTCTACAATGAGTACGAATTCTTTATTAATTACACTTACTAAATTTATTTATTTAGGTGTTTTTTTGGGTTCTGTGTTAAACTACATTACTACATATTATAAAAAGAGCATGTTGTTATAGTATGCCATTATCCAATGCTTAAAAGAGGTTATCATTCATGTTTTGTAAGAATAGTTTAAAAATTACTATACAGATTACAACTACTCCAGATATTGAGTTCTCCAGTCTCTTTGTAATATGATAAATGCCACCTCCACCTTTTACACCTCTTTATAATGAAAGCACAACATCATTTAACTTTCATAATGGATGTTACAAAAGGAGAAAGGATACAAACAGAAAATAGAAAAAAAAACAGAATATAAACTTCCTAGGATAAACACTCAATTAAATATCAGCTGTTTTATTCAAAACTTATAACAGTATTTCCCTTCAAAAACCATTCATTATCCTAGGTTATCTAATCTTAAGCAGTGTGTATTCATCTGTCTTCTGCTACACTGTACAATTCCCACCTCTTCATAGTGCTGTATTTGTTGTTTCTATAATACCACTCAAAAAAACTGCAATATAAACCATTTCTATAGATAAACTTAACATAAAACTAAACAAACCATTTCCTTCATTAACTAAATGTTTTATTAACTCAATATACTTTATAAAAATATAACTTTTATGAGGAGTATAACAACTTGTAAACAAACATATAAAAAGCTCTAAAGGTAATTTTAAAAAATTATTATTAAAAAGTAGTTAGTTGCCTACCAGATACTTCTGAAGAGGAGCAAGCTTGTATCCAAAAAAATAAATTAAACAATGATTAAATGACACTCATAAAAACAACATAGTAGCATGAAATCATCTATGCATATTTTCCCAGAATATTATATACAGATTTAAAACAATAATGTAGAAACTCATCTATTTGACTGAACACATTCCGATAGGACATTTCAAAATTAAATGGTAAAGAAATAAAATCAATAATTACTGCTTAGTGCCCAAATCAATACCATTCTAATTCTTCTTAAAACTACTAACTACTACTACTACTAAGTAGCATATACTGAAATACATATCCTGTATAACTATTGCAGTACCATCTCTGGGCTTTTATTATAATTTATTCAGAACATTACTGAGGAAAGACGCTCTGAATTATAACACTTTAACTCGCTTCTGGGAGACATTAGCGCCTTTCAGGCATTTTGCTGTCTTGGTGCTGGTTGAGCAATCTTTTCAGCAACATTTGTTGAGCACTCTTTAGTGGTGCTGGAAACTGAGCTAGACTCTGGGAAGACTACAAAGAATAAATGCATCTCCACTAGGAGATGAGACGCTGATGGGGAGATAGAACCATTATACTGGAGTGTGACAAGGACAACTAAGAAAATTATAAGGTCCTCTGCAAGCTTGAAAGGGGAAATTCTTGGGTAGTAAAGGTAAGGCAACACAGAGGACACAGCACTTGTGCTAAATCTTGAAGGACAGAGCTTCTCTGGCATACGGGTTGATGAA